CTGAGGTTGTTCCATATACACAGGATCTTCTAATTTTCCATGTAAGAAAGCATTCGAAACATCAAGTTGTTGAATTGGCCAACCTGAATTTATAGTAATAGACAGAACTAGTCGTATGGTTTCTGCTTTAACCATAGGACTAAAAGTATCAACAAGGCCTTTGATGAAAGCCTTTCGCCACAAGTCGAGCCTTATATCAATCGATTGTGCCATCTGATTTGGTCTTACCACGATAGACCCATTTGCAATCGATAACATTTGAAGCCTATGATCGTGGAACCAAATCCCAAGTTCCATTAGATAATAGGGCATTAATTTCTTCAGACATGGTTGTTCGCCAAACAAAATGCTTTGCTGCCGCTGTATAAGATGTTGGAATAATGGGTAAATAAGAAGAAGTGAGAAAATTCCTCGGTTTTAGATTCCCTATTTTGGACTAGTGAGCTTGGGATGTGTGTTGGAAGCCCTAGAAGAATGATTCATAGGCCGCGGAGGCAAACACAAGAGTGATGATGAAGAGTCTGTTACAGTTGTGACAATGTCCTGAGAGCGAGTTGGTGAGGATAGTGATTCTAGAGTTGGAGCAGCAGATTTAGGGATATTTGTGGGCAATCGTGTTTCAATTATAGTAGGTGAATTTGGAGTAATAGGGTTACCCAGTGAGAAAATAGGAGGCAGAGGTGGTGACCCAAGAGCAGAGGACTACCATCATTGACTTTGAACGGGAAAACTTGTTCATCAAACAACACAAGACGTGAGAAGAAAATTTTATTACTAGAAAGAGACAAGCACTTATACCTTTTATGAAGAATACTATATCCCAAGAACGCATACTTATTAGAACGAGGTTCAAGTTTATTCCTAGTATAGGGACGAAGCCAGGGATAGCAACAACAACCAAATATACGCAAGAAATTATATTCCGGGTTACGGTGAAAAATGATTTGATATGGCGATTTATTTTGTAATTTGGGAGTAGGCAACCTGTTAATGGTATAAACTGCTATGGCAAAATTATGATCCCAATATTTTGGTGGAACAGAAGAATGATATAAATAAGCACGACTTGTTTCAGTTATATGGTGGTGTTTCCGCTCAGCACATCTGTTTTGTTCGGGCGTGTGAGCACATGAGCTTCATTGAATTATACCATTTTTTAGTTAAGTAAGATTTTAAAGCATGATATTCTCCCCCCCCCCCTCATCCCGTGAGCTCAGCATGCGCACATCTGTTTTGTTCGGGCGTGTTGCAGGCACATGAGTTCTTCTATATATATTGAATTATACCATTGTGTTTAGTTAAGTAAGATTTTAAAGCAGTGATATTCTCCCCCCCCCCCCCCAGTCAACTTTGAAAATTGTTTAATAGGTTTAGTTGACAGAGATTTTTTGCAAAGTGTACGAAATTCAAGCCAAAGTAATATCAAAATCGAGGTAAAGTATCCTGTATCCACAGTGGAATTGTTATCAAGTACGAAAAATTAGTTTAATCCTATTATTAATTTAAGCGACAATAAGAAGAGATTTGTTATAAGGAAAAGGTAAATTCGAAAATAAAACACAGGAAAGAAAATCAACAAAAGAATTTGGGATGCAAAAGAGATCAAGGAACTTTAAAACTACTAGGGGTAGTTGGATTTTACTTAATTTCTATCCAATTTATTTATTTAGTTTTGAAATCAATCTTTAAGTTGTTCAAGTAGGGAAACAACCTAAAAAAGTCACTTGGCTAGACAAGCTCTCCGATGTATTGTTACTATTCTACGAGTGTCGGTCTAAGAATTACTTATCTTCCAATAGCGCAAACATGAATTAAATTATTAAGTTTTATGGTTTGTTTTGTGAATTCATAACCTAAGGTCATTAACTTACGAAAACCCCCCATGAGTCAAACCCTATAGCTTCCGCATCAAGTTATTATTCTCCTGTAATTTATTGCCTTTTTCGTATCAAAAACCCTTCTTTCGATAGTGATTAATGAAATAAATCAATCCAGGGGATAAACACTGCCTGGAAGCTTTAAGTGCAATAATAAATTATAGTAAGAACAAGAAAAAGCAAATCTAATATTATAAATTGGAATCGAATTAAGCTACATCAAATCCTACATCAAATCCCTAGTATGAAGAATTAGCTCGACATAGTATTGAATCAAAAACTCAATAAACACTTGAATAAAACTTCATAATCAATAATTGAATAATGAAAAGAAAGCTTCAATAACAAGCTCTCCCGATGTATTGTTAGCTATTCTAATCCGGTCTAATTACTTATCTTCCAATAGCGCAATCAAACATAATTATCAATTATTAAAGTTTTAATGGTTTGTTTTGTGAATTTCAATAAAACTAAGGTCATTATAACTTACGAAAAACACCCCCATAGTCAAACTCCCTATAGCTTCCTGCATCAAGTTTATTATTCCTCCTGTAATTTTTGCCTTTTTTCGGTATCAAAACCCCTTCTTTCGATAGTGATTAATGAAAATAAATCAATCCCAGGGGATAAACCGCCTGGAAGCTTTAAGTGCAATAATAAATTATAGTAAGACAAGAAAAAGCAACATCTACATGATTATACAATTGGAATCGAAATTAAGCTACATCAAATCCCTAGTATGAGGAGTTTAGCGTCGACATAGTAATTGAATAAAACTTCAAGTAATACTTGAATAAACTTCAACTCAATAATGAATAATGAAGCAAAGAAAGCTCAACTAACAAGCCTCTCCCGATCGTATTGTTAGCTATTCCTAATCCAGTCTAATTAACTTATCTTCCAATAGCGCAATCAATACATGAATTAAATTATTAACAGTTTTATGGTTCGTTTTGTGATTCATAACCTAAGGTCATTAACTTACGAAAAACCCCCCATGAGTCAACCTTATAGCTTCCGCATCAAGTTATTATTCTACTGTAATTTATTCGCCTTTTTCGGTATCAAAAACCCTTGCTTCCGAATAGGGTGATTAATAAGAAATCATCCAGGGGATAAACTACCTGCCTGGAAGCTTTAAAGTGCAGATATAATTATAGTAGAAACAAGAAAAAGCAAATCCTAATATTATAAATTGGAAATCGATTAAGCTACATCAAATCCTCTATATGAGAGTTTAGCTCGACATAGTAGATTGAATAAACTCATAATACTTGAATAAAAACTTCATAATCAATAATAATAATGAAAAGAAAGACAAGATTAAAGAGTTTAGAAATAAAAACTAGACAATAGCTATGTGGATGGCTTCCTTGAATCTTGGCACAAATCTTGGACGGCTTGAAATCTTTGAGAGAGAGAGAACTATATAGAAAAATACTAGAATTCGAGATGCCTCTACAATGAATAGCTCCCCTCTTTATATAGACCTTCTGGAGGAAATTCTGACTCTGTTTAGGAAATAGAGTCCTTATTAAGTACGAAATCTTCTTTGGAGATCATACCTGATTAGGCCTTGGATTTCTTCTTAGTTATGACTCTTCTCTCTTCCTAAATAGGTTTAGATCTTGTTTTGCACGTTTAGGAATATACCTGAGGCGGGCCCATGTGAGAAAAAGATTGGCTTACGTTTTTAGGTCAAGTCAGCTTTGCCTTCGTAACACGGACGTGCCATCTAGCACGGCTTGGGCGTGTGCCATCTAGCACGGCTTGGGCGTGCTAGAGTTTGGATCGATGAATGATTTATCACGGGCCATGTTTTGCAACACGCTCAGAGGAGTCTTTGTGGCACAGGCGTGCGCCCTAGCATGGTTAGGGCGTGCTAGGCTTTGACCTTCCAAGATAGATTTCATCACGGGCATGCTAGGCAAACACGCCCTGAGGTTCTTTTGGGCACGGGCGTGCCATATAGCACAGGCTAGCCGTGCTAGCCCCTGACTCTCCACTTCATTTCTCTTAGTTTTAGCACGGGCGTGCTATGGTGCACGGGTTGGGCGTGCTCGAGCCTGAGTATTTTGCTTTGTAATGCTCTTTTCTGTGCCAAAACCCTGCAAATTTCTTTCAGATCAAGTGGATTATGA